CTTCAGATACATGTGGCTGCATCATTGGGAAGCAGAAATGGTTCATGCTGGTCGCTTTTATACAGACATTTCAGAAAGGTTGTGCAGCCTTGGCAAACTTAAAAAGGTTTGAAATTAGATGCTCTTGGATTTTAAATAGTTCTTTTTCATGTTGTTTCATTTGAATGATGGATACTGTATTGTAGAGATGATGTGCAAGTGTCACCAGCATCTAAGTGATGGGGTTTGCTGCTTTTGTTGGATGAGTTGGTAAAAAATCTTGAGACGGATTCACAAACTTCAAACACTGTGCATCATTGTTATTCCAAATGAGCAAAAGGGAATGTGGGGATGCTTGATGGATTGCCATTGAATATGGAATTTATCTAGTGAATTAAATATGTCTTAAGAATGAAGTCGCGAGTTGTGCAGGAGTCCCTTGTAGGTTTGATGGATTCCATATTCACTGGTTAAACAGACTGTACGGTATGTGCAGTTACTGGATAACAAACCTTTAACCCCCGACTGACTTCATGCTCAGTTGTGGCACAGGTTGCAAACTTTGTTCAAAACCTGGAATTCTCCGCCAGCTGCACATTGATCCAGTTTGTTTCCTCTTTCAGCTTCTCCCGGATCTGTGAAGACGAGTCAAGCTGGCAGTGTGTCGGGCAGCCCAAAACCCTTCTCTCCTCAGTCCTCCACTCCCATTGCTGCTAAATCAGAAAGGACTTTGAAAACCCCTCCTACGGGCAGCATCCTTAACCTAAACCTTGGTTAGTTGTCACCACAAAATGTTTCTTCCATCGGTTTTGTAGTATTTCTGGTCAAAGTGCAGTGAGATAAAGAGAGACTGGGTGGGATGAGGTGTGTGTGCATGTTTGGGAAAACAATGGTCCAGGGTTGTGTATGACATGTCCTGGAAAGACACGGAGAAGCAAGAGACTTTGGAGCAATAAGTGTAATTTCTTTTGGAGGGATATAGATGTACAAAAATGAAAGCATGTCATCCTTTTCATTGACACCAATTTAGTGATTCAGTAGATTTGTTCCCATTGTGTACAGCCCCTGTTATTTTAGAGACACTTTTTACGTTGAAGGTCATTAGGTATGCAGAGAAAAAGTAGCCAGCTTTTCCAAAAGGTTTCTATATATTGACCATATGTTTGTCCAAGAACAGTTGGGGAAACTTGACTAACTATTATTTACAAATGTGTTTATTTTATGTCTTCAGCACTACTGCTGTTCATTTGGGCTTTCATCCTATATTTAGGTTCTATTTATTGATCTAAGAATTCTCATTTTGATGAGTCAGCTGAGTTAGCAAACTGAGCAGGTGCAGGTAGCATCTGTGGAGAGAGAAGCATGGGTCTGTGACCTTTCAGGGTTCTGTTGAAAGGTCAGAGATCTGAAACATTAACTCTGTTTCTCTCTCCACAGATGCTGCCAGACCGCCTGAGTGCTTGCGGCATTTTCTGTGTTCATTTCACATTTCCAGCATCTGTAGTATTTTGATTTTGTTTGATTAAGCAGACTGCTTGTGTTCAAAGTTAGTCATGTGCTTGGTACACAAGTATGTTGTGCCATTGACTGCTCATGTGATAAGTTGGCTCAATGTCTTTTCAAATATAGCTAACCAAAATTTTGTGTTGCTCTCTCACTAACGTTTTGCTTTTTCTTTTCAAATGATAGATCGCAGTAAAGCGGAAATGGACCTTAAAGAGCTCAGCGAATCTGTGTTGCAGTCAACTCCCGTGCTCCTCACTTCACCGAAAAAGCAGCCAGTGCGGAGTAGCTTCCTACTTAACCTCGACAAGACAATAGAAAGTTGTAAAGCACAACTAGGTGTGAATTTAATTGTTTTTTTTCTCTCTGCTCCAAAAAGCCTTTGTAAATGTCCTTTTCTGTTTTGGGAGAGAGGGATAATACATTAAAAGCCTGGACTTTGACTATTACATTAACTGAGGTTAAAGGTTGCTTAGAGTCCAGGCGCATGCTTCTCGAGTCAGAGTTTTATTCCAACTTATATGTCCGAATACTCCCAACAACCACTGATTACTTGTATATGCACCCAATTAAGGTCTCTCTCAGTTAATAGTTAACCAGCATCTGAACCTTCGTTCAATTTGGTCCTTACCATCCCTGACAGACTCTACCAGATGACAAGTGAAAATATCTCCTTCCACTGTTAATTGGTTAAGGAGAAATGGAAGTGGCATTGGCTGAGGTATGTGGTGTTGGCAAGGCATATATATTTCCCCTCACCTTTTTTGTCAAGATGGAGAAATGAATGTTAATGAGCTGACTAATGTTCTGGAAACGAACTGCTGAAACGTATCTCCTGAAGGGAAATCCCAACAGAATGATTTTTGAACCAGAGATTTGCAATCGCTTCCATCTGGGTTGGTGCCCAGCACACTCTTACTAAAGTTGCCAACTTTAAGTCAAAACTTAAAAACAAAAACAAACCTCTTTATTTCAGTTGCAAATTTACTCTGGTCTCTTTCATTTCTGTTCTGTTCACTGCAAAGATTCATTTATTTGTACTGAAGATTTATCACTAGCTGGCTGAATAAAACACAAGATGTCTTACTTCAATTCATATTCTATACCCTATTCTAGTGAAGTACCCAGTCACTTTTATGTTCTAGCTACATTTAAAGTACATTTCAGGGTACGAAGCCATGCAGACCAGAACCAGATATTTAAGTTCATAGTTGATACTATTAACCAAATTGAACCAAGGCTGAAGTTATCTTCCTGGGGGAATTTGCTAGAGCTCCTGCTTCTGATAATATTCAGTGACAACTGCTGGTAAAAAAATGGGTGTGTATAACATCTGATGAGGACAAATTATGATCCTTCCATGACCAACCAAATAATGCAAACTGCTATAGCACAAATGCATTATCATCAAAAAATATGATTAGTTATTTGAATCACCAGAGGATTTTGGGACTGTTTGCAACAAGAAAACATACCTACGGAAGATGAGGGGTGAAAATTGAGATGCGGATTTTTTTTGCAGTATAGCCCTCGTTCATTTGAACACTGCAATTCTGTCATGTTGAATGGGCCCTCTTTGCTATTTGTTTTCTGCTTTATTTTGTTATAAAATTACCTTTGTCTTTCAGCTTTTTCCATGGTACATGGCGGGGGTGGGGGTGGGGGTGTTCACCCCAATCTCCATTGTGTCAATCATCATGTTTGATCTAACAGTTGAGGTATCCACAGCTCAGTGCATCCTTCTGCTAACTTGTCCATTTGTCCAGGTTGGGAACCAGCACCAATGCATTACTGCTTGCCTGTGCCAGTAGCTGGGATTTTGTTATAAAATCTGTTCTTTCATATATTAAATTCTCATTTCGTTACAGCATCCTTATGACCAATCATAATGCTCCCCCCACTCCCCAACCAACCAAACGCACGCGCGCGCACACACACACACACACACACACACACACACACACACACACACACACACACA